CTATATGGCTGAAATATTGCCGATGCGATGTAAAATTTAACTCACTTACTCACGTTACGGAACCACGTGGTGTACAACATGCTTCCCGTTACGGGACTGCGTGATAAGTATATGCACCATGCTTCTTATTACGGGACCACATGATGACTGTATACACCATGCCACTTGTTACGTGACTGCGTGATAAGTGTAAACACCATGCTTCTTTTTACGGAACCACGTGATGGCTGTATACTCTAGCTTCTTGTTACGGGACTGCGTGATAAATGTATACACCATGCTTCTTGTTACGGGACTGCGTGATAACTGAATACACCATGATTCTCGTTACGGGATCACCTGATGACGCCGTTCTTCTCGTTACGAGACCGCATGATATCGGTACACGGCATGCTACTTGTTACAGGACCACGTGAATACGACAGGCTAGATAGAGATATTCCTCGAAAGTAATACGGGGGATGTATTTCAATGTGGTACATGCAGATCAGTTTAAAGTCCTTCACATGAGTCTCATCCGCCCTCCCTCTAGTCCTGCAACATGACCGTGGAATATATTTATTTTATGAAAAGAAATAATCTAGAAATGCATACAAAAGCAAGTCTAGCCAGCTCAAGCTAGCTCTATTCCACATCACAAATCAGCATAGGGAATTTTTATTTTTTTTTAGTCATCAGGATATTGTGTAATATAAGAATTCAGAGACTAAATGTTAGTCTACCCTCCCTCCAATGTTAGTTGGTGTACTAACGTGAGACAGATGTGCGCTGACGACAGGTGCTGTAATGGCCGTGTTACGATGCATGTGATGGCGGCAAGTTCACCCCTCTACCTGGCGTCTCCCTCTTATCTCACAGCCAATGTAGTGATGACTGACGAGTATATGGGCGTGTGTACCTGTCTCCCGCAAACTCTCACCTACAGGTGTTGGTCATGTTTATTTATTGCATATTACTGAGTATTCCCCGAAGTGAACTTGTGTAATGATCGTGCACATCAATAGTGCCCTCACGTAGGTGTACATCCGCGCGCAATACTCAACACACTTATCGAAAGATCTTTGACGAAAACAGCATCCCACAGCCCGCTCAGAAGGAATTATAGCGTGTGCTAAAGATGATATTTTAGATAAAGTTACAGTTAAACCACTCAAGGATGAGCATGCATCATGGATTCAGTACAACATACTACCAGAGCATTATAATTATTATACATACATATAGAAGGATCATCTTACTTCACACAAGAATGTTTTACTTAGAACATTATATGTAGTGCAATTGATAATAAACTTGACAATAGCCTTAAAAAGAAAAGTGTTTTTAATGCAAGAGACATGCTACTAAGTCAGACAGTGTTGACTCAGCCACTAAATACCTAAGCATCAATGTTGAATTATTTTTAAAGAAATGGAAGTCAACACCAACTTTCGGATTATGAAATTTCAAGGAAAAGGTTCTGTAAGTATGCTGGACATGTTAACATTACTTGATGGTTTCCCACAATGTTGTAACATTTGGAACATAATGTGACCAAGTAAAGTACTTGTTTCCGTAGTCGACAATTTAAGAAACATTAGTAACGTCATTTTAGCTTTGTAATTGGTGTAAAGAAAATGTAAACACCTTATCCTGGTCACCAGCATATACCCTTATACCTCTGATGCCCTGTACATCCTCAACTGTATGTAACATAGCAAGCAATAAATAAGTGGAGTGAGATTGAACACTATACGTCACAACTTCATGTCAGCTAATCATTTTCGGCCTGATGATACTCGTACATGGTCCGAGTTGAAAGCGCTAAACAATTAAAACTGTGTTCAATTTACTCCACTTATTGATTTTTTTGCGTTACACACACATAATATAATATACATACACACAGAGAGTGATCGGGACCTGATGTGTTTCATTATACAATAAGTTTTTGTTTGTTTGTTGTTTAACGCCGCACTCGGTAATATTCTAGCTATATAACGGAGGTCTGTAAATAATCGAGTCTGGACCAGGCAATTCAGTGATTGATATCATGAGCATCGATCCACGCAATTGGGATCGATGACATACTTCAACCAAGTCTGCGAGCCTGACCACCTGATCCCGTTAGTCGCCTCTTACGACAAGCTTAGTCGCCTTTGATGACAAGCATGGGTTGTTGAAGACCTATTCTACCCCGGGGCTTCACGGGTATTATCACTAAATAATGTGAGTTAACATACGTCGTCAGCCGAGGTCACTGTATATTTTACGGTATCTTCGTACACTTCGTTCATCCACACTCAAACGTGCACACCAAACATAATCATTTTGTCGTGTTAATATACATATTAACCTTTAATTAGTTATTAGGTTTATCCAAAAGATGGGTGAGAAATATGAAAAAAGTTTATTCACTCCGCACCGAACAGGCGCTCGTGCACACATCCTTCAGTTAAAAAACAGTGAAGCACTGCTCCCACGTGCACTTCACAGTGCACTATACAGTGCACTTTACGGTTAAAAAGTAAGCCACGATAAGGGTTAAGACGTGTATCAGTCAATGAGCCAAGTGCACGTGTATGACGTGATGAGCTGAGTACATATGTATGACGAAATAGTCTAGGTACATGTGCACGAGGCGACAATCTAAATTCACATGTACATTATTTATAAGCGGGTGCGTAAAATTTGGTTGGTTGGTTGATTGTTGCGGCTAGTTGGTTGACCAAAATGATGTCCATCACATTTTGGATATGAGGGGGATGAGTATGTGAAAGCAGGTTAATGATAGTAAAATAGGTTAGAATTGGTCAAAACCGAGCATCCAACTTATTCATCTGTATGTTGACGTTTTGTAAACGTGTAACATACAATGATATTATAGTCACAACGTCATAATATTATTCCTGATGTGATATTTTTTAAATAAAAGCATTCCATTAAGTTGGTTATAATTCATAAAAAGAAAAGAAAATAACAAGTCATAACTGGGACGACAATGGAGCACCATATATACTGAACAGCAAAGGTTCCTGTGATATTGAATAAGATTTAATGCAAAGTTATGTTTTTTACCAAATCTGAAACAATTTCGGTTTGCAACAGATAAAAGACTCCTGTAAGTGTTCAATGGTTTAATTTGCCATACTGAAAATGCGTGATTTCATAAAAAAAACATGAACATGCCAAAATGTCAATTTACAAATCAATAAAGTGTGTGTCCACCTCTCGTTGCGATGCAAGCAACACATCTTCGTCTCATGGAATGGACCAGGCATCGCACAAAGTCCTGTAGGATATCTGTCCATATCTGCTGAAGCATGTTTCGAATTTCTTTGAGTGTCTGTGGAACCCGTGTTTAACTCGAAGTCGCCGATCCATCTCATCCCACATGTGCTCGATTGGTGAGAGATCAGGGGAGCGAGCCGACCAGGGGATGACATTCACGTTGTTTTATTGAAGAGAATCCTGAACAAGTCGAGCAATAAGAGGCCGGACGTTGTCATGTTGAAAGGTAATGCCTGGGCCATAACGACGCAAAAAACGGTAGAACAACAGGGCCGATGATCTCGTCGCGGTAGCGCTGTCCATTGAGATTTCCCTCTACCACTATCAAACGGGTCCTCTGTCTTGCTGTAATCCCACCCCATACCATAACGCTGCCGCCCCCGAACCGATCTTCTTCCATGACACAATGATTGACGTAACGTTCACCTCGACGTCGGTACACTCGAATCCGTCCATCGCTGTAGCTGAGGTGAAAACGAGACTCGTCAGTGAATAGAACTTGTTCCCACTGCATGGCCGTCTGTAGACGTGCTTGACGGTGGTTTCCTATCAAAATGGGACGTCTGGCTGGTCTTCTGGCGACAATCCCTGCACATCTGAGGCGACGACATACGGATTGTGAAGATATTCGTCGAAGGCCAGGGATGCTTTTTGCAGTCACTGTTGCCGACTTGAATCGATTTCGTAGGTGTGTTGTTAGAATCCAGTTGTCTTGTCGATTATTTGTTACGCGTGGCCTGCGAGGATGGTCTCTGACTGCATTCGTCTGTTGCCAACGGTTCATACAAAGTTGTGCCATCCATGGCTTGTAACAAAATGTACACCTATTCTTTATTTAAATTAAATTTTTGTGTTGAACCGTATCTTCTAAATATCATTATTGCTAAATGTCGTACTGCGCTTTCCCGCTATCGTTGTAGTTCGCACACACTCCATATTGAAGTGGGTAGATATTATAATGTCCCAAGAGACCAAAGACTTTGTAACCTCTGTAACATTGGTCTTATCGAAAACGAATACCATTTTCTGTTTATTTGTAAAACATATAATAAGCTTGGAAACAAATATATTCCAGGAAAATATCATGTCCATCCTACATTACATAAATTTAACCTATTGTTGTCATCATGTCATGCTGAAACCATGAAAAACATTTCACTATATATATTCCATGCCATGCATATTAGAAGCTCGTTAATGTCCATTGTGGACCTGACTACCTAAATCTACAATGGGCCGATGGCCTACAGTGCAAAATGAATAAAGAAATACATCAACATCAACTACATCAACACAATGCTGATCTGAAGCAAACTAAAGCGATATAACAACATAAAAACTCTATTTTCGTCCTTTAATGCAGCCAAACAAAACGCGCCATCTCTGTAGTTGGTTTTACAACTAACAGCTCCAACGTCTTGCGACTAACCGCATTTCACCTAACAATAGTACTGGCCCATGTCATTTCGAGGTTAATGTTATCAAAATTAAATTAAATCAATATTAATGCAAACAAATGCCATAATCTATTCAGCTACCTCATCACATGATGAGTATATTGTCAACCAACTAACAAACAATCGACCAGTTAATCTGACGCATCCGTTTTCCTTCTGTGGTGTATGTGTAGTAGCGGGTATGGGGTGGACGATTGTGGGGCACACACAACACAACGCTACTTGTCAGTTCACATGACAACTATCTTTATTCAGAGAGTAGATAATAATAATAATCATAGTAAACCCTGAAAATATAAAGCAAACATCATAAGTATTTTCGTAGAAGAACATAATATTGCCTTCATGGAGATTAAACACAATTACATGACTTCATCTGATCAGCTTGCACATTAGCACTAGCATGAATAAATCCTTAAATATAAATAGCAGGTTGTTAACTATTTCTGAATAACTATATAAAATTGCCATTTGTAAATACTTTGTGAATACATTACATTCACACAAAACATTAATTTAGAAGGATAACAATATACAAGTTATTTGTTTGAACCATGTATATGATTATGTTCCCCACTTACCACTGTGTGGCAATGAGCTTAACTCAGTGGTTCGCAGCAACGTTCAAGGTTGGTTAAGGTCACATCATTCTATAACAAGTTGAAATACAACCTTGACAATACTAATAATGGCCATATAAAATAAGATATAAAAACAACCGATCTCCCATACATACGTTCTTATTTCATACCACATTCAGACAGTTATAGGTTTTAGAAAATGTTCAAATAATAATTTAGTTTAGTAAAGTGTATACTAGTAATGCAACATTTAAGTAGATAACATACTGTATAGATGCAATACGAAACATTTTAGATTGAAATGTAATAAATTCTACATACAACCAACTGTACTGATAGTTGAAATACCTACTTTACTTTGACTACCAACTAGGTTTAATTGTACACTGATGCATTCATCTAACATCTCTTAAGAAATACAATATGTACAAGACCATATATACAGTATATGAAGTACTAAGACCACATAAACTAACCTGGATAATGAAATCCTCAATACACAAATATCGAGTTCCATGAATGCACACAGTGTTCCACATCCACAATCAGCAAGGGGCTGATATTGAGGAAAACGATCAAATATAACTCAAAGTGACCTCCTCGAATAAATGTGTATGACTGCCAACAGGATATGCCGGACAGAAACCTTTCAAACTACATACACAATAGATAGTAAGCTGACCAGAGAAACTAAAGCAGACAGACAAAAGAAACGTGTGCAGTGTGCATACGCATGGGTCAGGACCTGGCCTGACCCAGTAAGGTGGCTATTGTTAAATGCAGGGTGCAGAGATAGGCTTATTGTATTGAGGGCTTGTATAACTCTAAAGGTTTTTAGTGTTTGTAGGGTACTGTATGTAAAGTTTAAAGCTAAAATGAAACATCTAGAATATCTAACTTGTATGTACAAATACTTAAAACATGACTTGGCCACATATGCCACCATGCATGAGCTGAGTACATATGCTGTAGTACGATCGAAGTACTTACGGATGGCGTCATGATCTGGGTACACATGTATGACGTCATGGGCTGAGTTGGGCTGCGTTCCAGGGCGACATTTCGCTTGCAAGCGATGTACTGCGATTCGCCTTACAACGGTGCGCCGCTTGCTGGCGCAACAATCGCTGGCTGGGGGCGCTTCGTTCTCAAACCAAAATGGCGGCTGAGTTTGACAGCAGAACAAGAAATTCTTGACTGGGTCAACTGGGAAATGAGCAAAGGCAGCTAACATCCCATCATCCCCAGTCTGCTCAACATCTTCAAAGTAGCCATAACTTTCATCAGTTCGTCATCGAGCCTCTTCTGTTACGTTCTTCATTAGGGCGGTAACCAAGCGGTAGTTGCGCCGCCATTTTGGAAGAGTGCGCAAGCGCTTCGAATTGTTGCAGACCCCGGGATAAGCGATTAATTTGCTTACTCTAAGCGATTGTAACGCGCCCCAGATGTTTGAGACCATGATCTGAGCACACTCCGGCGCACTGGTGACTCAGCATAACACCACTGCAACAGGCTATAATTTGCATATCACGTGACCGGACTTTTCTCTTGTTTGTAAACAAACGCGCTTTCTCAGAAATCAGTATAGAACGGACTAATGCAAGTATTTGGGGGCGCTTAACATATTGTTTTGCATAATTATATAGATATGCTACTACAACTGCGACAGTGAATGTTATGACAATATATATTTATACATCAAAGTGACCGTATCGCCAGCTCTCCGTTGGGCTTCGGTGACAGCACGTGGCGCCGTACAACCAATGTAAACAAAGGAAAACTAAGCAAAAACAAGTAGATTTGCACGTATTAAGATACTTTCGTAAAGAACCGTAACCATTCTTTGACATTTGTTTATGAAAATGTGTAGACTTGTCAAACATGAAACAGATGAAAAGCATATTCAATATCTTGAATGGACTGTGAAAGATGTGACGAATCGTCACATGGCGCTGACCTGTGGCAGAGGTACTATGCTGGCTGCCGGCCGCATGGAACTCTGGGTAGGAGAGTGTGATCTGAGTACATATGTGTGACGTCATGATCTAAGTACATATCATGACGTCATGAGCTGAGTACAGTTGTATGACGTCATGAGCTGAGTAAATAATGTTTGAGACCATGATCTGATTACATATGTATGACGTCATGATCAGAGTACATATGTATGACGTCATGATCTGAGTACATATGTATGGCGTCATGATCTGAGTACTTACGTATGACGTCATGAGCTGACCACATATTATGTATGACTTCATGAGCTGAGTAGATAATATGTTTGAGACCATGATCTGAGTACATGTGTAAGACGTCATTTGCTGAGTGGATGTGTATGACGCCATTTTATCAACTGAAGTATTAATTTACCATGTAGTCGTTTCTTGCATTAACTTTAATTGAAGTATTAAATTGATTGAATTTGAGGCGAACGAATGTTACGTTGCTGCTTTGGAGACGTCGAACCGTTCGGAGGTGGCGGCATTGTGGTTTGGGGTGGCATCTGTGGCCAAGTCAAGACAGATCCGGTGATTTGGGAAAGAAATATCACTACCTGGCTACATTGACTAAGTTCTCCGTCTTGTTGTGCTACCGTTCTCACAACAGAACACCGAACCCTGTTTCAACAAATTAACACAAGGTTCCATGTGTCATAGCGACTGATTTATGACTACCATTGTCTGCAGTACATTTGACTTCAAGGGCAATTTACCCTGTAGCCATGTCTCCATAACTTAATTGTCATTACGTTTTAGGCGCTAATCCCCGTTGTTAATCATCACCAACATTTCATTGTATTTTGACTGTCAGTCAGCCTGGACTACCATATCACTTCCCTTTAACTACTGCTTTTTATAGTATGGCATTTATTGCCCTAATTGATCATCCCATGAACTGTGTTTGTTAATCACGCCCATATGTCCAAAGCAACGTCGTTGTCTCTTTGTCTGTCCATTGTTGTTCATTACTATATATGTGCTACCATTACAGTTACTACGGTGTTAGTCAGGCTTGGTATTCCGAGTGCTGGCATAGGGACGACCTCGAGCAGGATATGCTGCTCGTAGGAAACGCCCTGAGGTGAGCTGGAGCTCCGCTCACCTCTTGTACGCCTGAGCTGGAAAGTCCGCTCATTGCTGTGTTTGTGTTGTCAGAGCAGGTATTCCGCTCATTGTGCAATTGTTGTTTATTGTTTACATGTTGTGCATAGAGCGTTCCGGGACAGTGATGTCGATTTTGTCCTTTATTCCCCCAAGAGCTAATTCCCCGTCAACATGCGCGTTGACAACTGGTGTTAGAATCCGGCTGGAGTAACTCTTGAGTTTACTTCCGATCCAGTAACCTCTCTGTATGCCTACCACCCTGAAGAACAATCATCAACTCGAGCCATGAAGAAACAAGATTGAAGAAAACAACAGGAATCTCTCCGAATCTCTCAAGATTTCGTTCATACACAGGACCAAGGAAGTATAAACGCCTATCCCGCAGTGATCCTGACCACAGCCAGCATGATGCAGATCATACAGAAATCGCCTCACGGGCACCTACAAGATGGACATTGTGTACAAGATATCTCATTGGGACTAATTTGTGTTTACTTACAAGGACTCAATCACGGATATATATTGTGTGACTGTTGAATAGTGCAACCAGGTATGTTTAATCAAAGCCAGTATTAATGCCAAAATGTGTCTTTCCAAAATTCAGTTTTGTATGTGTGCAATATACTCCAAATTACATCTTTAGTCAGCTAGATCTTTGAAGTTATTGTGTAGGGAATCTTTGAAATGTCTCCAGGCCACGCCAGACATATAGATACAGCTAGGGCCCAGACAAACCTTAGCTGTAGGGTTATCGAGTCACACCTCTAAGCTCGACTCGTAATTTAAAAAATCTAAACGACAAAATTTGTCATTTGTTACAAGTAATTAATGTGCACAGTTTGGTACAAAATTGAATGTATTGTCTAGGACTTTGAATTCAGATTAGGGATATTCTTGGGTGAGCCACCCCTACACATATGTTTATTGTATGTCAGTATTAAGTAATTAACAGCACAGCAGTATTCAGCATTTCAGAATTTTGATGTCGGAATTAAGGATTTTTTTTCTTGGGCATCGCACCCACAATATCTGGGCAAGCTCCGTCAAAGACACGGGAAGAGCACCCATTGTACTTAAAAGGGCAATAGTACCCACAAGTACCGTTTGAGTCACACGGTAAAGCTAGACTCCTGGTTTCAAATTTCTTTATGCGAAATATTTGCTGAGATGTTGAATTTGTACTTTTTATGACATTAATCATTATCATTATTCGGTACTGAGTCGCACCGCCAAGCCAGACTCCTGAATTCAAAGAACCTTCAGTGATATATTTATTGAATCTGTGCAAAGCAGTAATTACCTTGTAGTGAAATTGCACATTACAAAGATCACTTGGTTAGTTTTCAAACTGGCACTAATTCAAATTGGCTAGATGATCACTTTCATAGCGTCATTGCATAGGTATATTTGTTGCACAAGAATTTCAACGATATCATGAATTCATCTAACTGATTTTGTTCACATTTTGCACTATTGTTTCCGTTCAAAAAGTTCACACATATCAATTTGGACTTGTCAAAGCTTGGGGTCCAAGCTTCACGGAACGGAGGGAAGCCCCCAAGAGCTAATTCCCCGTCAACATGCGCGTTGACACATGCATACAGCACGTCTTGTAAGATATCCATGCAAGCCAATAATGTGAACGTCTTGTCTTAGTCATAACGATCATCAGACTTATCAGCTACAGAACACTTGTTGGATCACCTTAACCGTCCAATTAGAACACGGCCAGGTCGCCCTTATAACAAGGATCACTCAGCCCAGACCCTCCACGAAAAATGGCGTTGAATGCCCTTTCTTGTGATCAGACGTCGCACATCTTCTGCGCGTCGTCGAGTTAGGGCGTGCATTGAGGCCCGTGGTGCGCATACATGATATTGACTGACAATTGTGACATTGCGAAGGATTAAAAGGAGTTCAAGTGTTCATTTCAGACCGACTGTGGTCACAATATCTTAATGTTTGTTTTCATTCACGGCATAACATGTAATGATGTTAATTCATGTCTTTTGACAATACAAGAATTTTCATGATATTGGTCCTCTACTGTTTTTAAGAAGAAACAATGTCGTTTGTCAATTTTTCTTTTGCACGTCACTTTAAGAGAGGGGCACAGTTAGTACCATGGGTAACTCTACAGCTTGTCTAAATATTCTATCCCAATTTGGAAAAAGATTTTGTCAATCAATCCAGCAAGTCGCATATTAGGGTTTCTGGGTATTTCTGAGAAGAGTTACTTTAGTCTTAACAAACTGACCACATCCATTGAAGATTTGAAATAACTACTACCATTACTACTACTACTACTACTACTACTACTACTACTACTACTACTACTACTACTACTCCTATGACGGCGTCTGTTCTCTTTATCGAGACGTAGTTTCAGGGCGATAATTCTTAGCCATCTGAATTATCATTTTTAAATCGTTAGTTTGACAAGAACATTATATCGTCAATTGTATTGCTACACATCACGTAAGTGTGCCGGATTCCTATAACAGAACCTTTCTTAAGGGAAATTCTAAGGGATTTTTCAAAAGATATGTTTCAGGTTCATGCCTTCGGGAGATTCGAAGAAGAAATCGAAATC